AACAGTCCCAAACCATATACCCTGGAGTCCAGATTACTCAGATTAAACATGAACCAACACGTTTGAGGCTACGTAATCTCCCGGTCCCATTGAATAGCTTCTCATCTCATCACTTTGAAAGGGACTGAGCTCCCCTTGTCCCCCCCTACCCCAAAACAGCAACTCTATTACCCTTAATGGCTAACCCTTACCCTTAAACGCTTCCCCTTAAAACCTTATTAATTTAAGGGGATAAAACTAACCTTAAAATAGTGTGGGTACCTATTTAATCTAACCTTGCCTGTGTGACCTTCCCTGACCTTGCCTAACTTAGCCTGTGTGACCTGGCCTGACCTTGCCTAACTTAGCCTGTGTGACCTGGCCTGATCTGCCCTAACCTGAATAACTCAACCTAACCTTCATGACCAAATATAATCTGTATGACCTAATCTAACCTGCGTGACCTAACCTAACCTGTGTGAACTACCCTGACCTATCTTAGCCTAGGTTCTGTGACCTAACCTAACCTAACCCAACTTAACCTGTGTGGTTACATAAAGACTTCCTCCCAGCATCTAAAACAAAACTTTCAATGGGATACGAACCTCTCCTAAAATAAGTAACATATCGAATATCTATACTATCAAGGGGGTGTGGCTCCCTCTCCCTTTAAACCAGCATTATTACCATATTATCTTTAACGACTACTTCCCCCCACCTAAAACCTTAAACCCTAAACCTTAAACTATATCAAAGGGTTACGGCTACCCCCCTTAAAACCATTAAATATATCACGAGTTAAAATGACACCCCTTTAAATAACATTAACACACACACACACACACACACACACACACAGTAAGATTATAAAGCGAAATTTATAACAGCGGAGTAAATTTATAGTGGACTAAATACTGTGAAATATTACACTAAGTTCTGAAAATTAAAGGTAAGAGGAAACATAGGTACAAAGTCTGTGAGATATGAGGAGAGAGAGAGAGAGAGAGAGAGAGAGAGAGAGAATAGAAACAGGACGAAGATAGGAACGAAGGAAGGAACGAAGGAAGGAAACGGTGATATGAGAGGGAGAGAGAAAGGAAGAGAGAGGGGTGACAGAAGAAGAAGAGAAATAAGAGATAAAAAGTTTAAACCTGAACTACGAACGAAGGGAAATACGTAAAGGACGAACCAATTTAACATATTCCTGGATATTATCGTAAAAGAGACAAATTATCGTACAGAAGTTTCTAAATTATCGTAAACTATTAATACTGAATAATATCATATTTATTAAATCATCATACCTCATCATACTAGAAACAATATAATCATCATACCTCATCATACTAGAAACAATATAATCATCATACCTCATCATACTAGAAACAATATAATCATCATACCTCATCATACTAGAAACAATATAATCATCATACCTCATCATACTAGAAACAATATAATCATCATACTAATCACATTATTACCATACGATAATACATAGACAAATACACCCCTAGCTAATCATACAATAAAAATTAAATATACATAATTGACGAATGTAATTAAAAAAAAAATCATACTACACTGCAGTCATAATACTCTAAGAGAAACCGAAAAAAAAAATAATAAGAAAAATAAAAACATCGTCCTGCGGGTGTCGGGGTTGCGGGTACAATAATTTCCGACAAACAAATTTCCGGCAGAGATAGAGCCCGAGAAAGCCATGGCCACCAACTGCAGTTATACCTACGTTTATGATCTTATTTTTCTTGTTATTTACTTTTTCAACTCCGCATGTCCTATCTTGATAATGCAGAGGCGTGTCTTAATAGGAAATGAGGACACGGTGGTAGGGAGGGGGGGGGTGGGTTGTATGTCCTATAAATATATTAAGAGGAAATGTGGATATTGTTTGTATGGGTTGTATGTCCTACAAGGGGTGGACATGGGGATATATCAGAGGACATGTTGATATGGGAGAAGGGTGGTTGTACATATTATGCATTTCAGACACGTGTGTTAGTTTGTGATGTACGTTCTTTACACTTTAATGTACACCGTTGTATGTCATATAAATAAAAGGAAAAGGCCGTGTCCTAAACAAGAGAAAATTGGGGCGCAGGTGTCCAGTATGTTCAAGGAAGAAAGGCTTGGGCGTGTGTTGGGAAATGTGTCTGTGCTTATACCCATGTCCAGATGACGATGTGAATTTTATATAGCTAACACTTGTAATGCCTATATTTTCTCCTTCGCATGCCCAAAGATTGACAAAAAAAAATCCCTGCGTGTCCAAATGATAGAATAAACGCATGTCCTGGTACAAGTCCTTTTCCGACATCCGACATACCCCACTTTAGACATGCGTACGAGATCTTAGAAGTATCCCTACCCCTATATGCATGTCCAAGGCTGTTTCCCTTTCCCCAAATTCTGAAAGACATGTGTATATCCAAGAAACAGGACACGAATATCCCCCTTGCATGTCCGAACGTCTTCCACTTTACACACGCGCGAAACATCCACCAGACACGCGAACGTATGTCCAAATGAGATGTAAATAACACCATACATGTCCTAAGAGTGGTATTTTTTCACAGTTTTATCGATATTCTTTGTAGGACTATGGTGGAAATGGCCGTGTCACTCACAACGGGCAATGTCCCACGCGTGTCCTCTTGGTGTACGTGGGATTCTGGAAATGTATAAACTTTAAATAACTCTTTCCTCCTCCTCCTCCTCCTCCTCTCTTTCTTATCTACCCTTTCTCCCGTCCTTTCACCTCCTCCTCCACCTCCTCCTCCGCTTCTCTTTCCCCCATTTCATCTCCTCCTTCTCTTCTCCCTCTCTACTTCTTCTCCCCTCCTTTCATCTTCTCCTCCTCCTACTCCTCTTCCTTCTTTCTCTATCAACTTCCTCCGTCCCCCACCCTCTCCCTCCTCACTATCTCTCTCCCTTTTCGTCCACATTCGCTTCTTCACTTCAAACTCTCCCTCCACTCTCTCCTCTCCCTCTCCTCTACTTCCCATCCCTCCTCTCCCTCATCCTCCTCTACCCCTCCTCCTTTACTCCCTCATCCTCCTCTACCCCCCTTCCTCCTCCTCCTCCTTTACCCCCTCCTCCTCTTCCTCTGTGTCTTCCAGGATTTTCGGTGGGGTAAAACCTGGAGCTTGTAGTGATATATGCGGGTGCTCTCACGAAATACTTTCTTAGATATGATCAATGGACGCTACCAGGACGAGAGAGAGAGAGAGAGAGAGAGAGAGAGAGAGAGAGAGAGAGAGAGAGAGAGTAACACAAAGCGAGAGGCAGACACAAACGGAGAGAAAAATGTACAAAATATGAAGAAAGATTAATTTGCATTTCATATCTTCTCTCACCCATTTGCATTGTACATAAAATTTTATACTGATGTTGTGTCTCAGAGACGTCGCCATGGCTGAGAGATGGACTAAGAGAACGAGACAGACAGACAGACAGACCAACAGGAAAGACAACAGAGGGGAATATCAACATGCAGACAGACAGACAGTGACAGACAGACAAATAAAAACAGCCATACAGACACGTAAACATATTCTAGTAGCATTCCCCTTACACTCTCCCACACCTCCATCATCCCCCTCACTAGCACGAAGGTTCCTGACTACTTCCCGGTCTAAGCTTCAGATAGGCCAACGTCAAGCTACCAAACATTACAATTCAATTTCAATCTTCGCCTTTTACGTAACCAAATCGAATCACTCACAGAACAAAACACTCAGACACACACACACACACACACACACACACACACACACACACACACACACACACACACACACACACACACACACACACACACACACACACACGGAGACATAAGACAACAAGGAAATTTCGGGCATGGAAAGTAAGATGGGGCGAATCAACAGGGAATGGAGATATGAACTTTAATAAATGTTATATAAGAAAATTGGGTAAATGATTAACTAAATTGGGTAAATGTATAACTAAATTGGGTAAATGTATAACTAAAATTGCAAATAACTAAAATTGGGTAAAATGTACAACTAAATTGCAAATGTATAACCAAATTGGGTAAATGTATAACTAAATTGCAAATGGTATAACTAAAATTGGGTAAATGAATAACTAAATTGGGTAAATGAATAACTAAATTGGGTAAATGATTAACTAAATTGGGTAAATGTATAACTAAATTGGGTAAATGTATAACTAAATTGGGTAAATGAATAAAAAAGGGGTAAATGTGTACAAAATAATACATAGGAAGAAATTATAATGAAGAGAACTACCATGAAGAGAGAGAGAGAATTAAAGAAAAAAAAGGAAGAAAGAGTAAAAGCGAAAGAGAGAGAGACAGAGAAACAACACATAACTAATACAAAATACAATAACAAATATAAACTAACAAAAAATAATTAAAAATCAGTGAAAATAAAAATATATCATAGAAAAAATACCGCAATAAAAAAAAAACACTTGATATGCAAAACCTAAACCAATTGAAACAGGATATAGGCCAAAAATAATAAGCCTATACGAATTATATATAAACTTTCCTATAAAAAGAGTTTATTTTATCCTATAAATTTGTGATTTAGTGAAAGGGTTGATATACTGGAATAGATATTTGATCAAAGTAATGACAGACCTTTACAAAATAGTTGAAAATCAGAATCACAATAATCTCTCTCTCTCTCTCTCTCTCTCTCTCTCTAAATCACTGATACGTAAAACCAAGAAATAGAAACGTAATCTCAATGACATATAAACACACACACACACACACAGACACAGACACACACACACACATTTCAACGGTACGTGAAAACAGAAACTAACTAGAAACAGACTTAAAAAAGAGGAGTTTGTGTTTATGATGCAATTTAATGTGTTGAAGATACAAAACTCGGCAAATTTCCTGGTAAGTTTTAATGACTTGATTATACACACTACCCGCACTCTCTCCCGCACCTTGTTGTCCAGCTAATTATAACGAGTTGTTTTAATATGAACTGTTACAGCTCTGGAGACGTGATACTTGTACCGAACATGTCTAAAACTGGTGATGACATATCTGGAGACGTGATACTTGTACCGAACATGTCTAAAACTGGTAATGACATATCTGGAGACGTGACACTTGTACCGAACATGTCTAAAACTGGTAATGACATTTCTGGAATAAGTGACTGGAATTGGTAATACGTCTGAAATAAATATCCGGAATTGATAATGCTGTTTCGAATAATGTCTGGAATTGGTAATGATAAGCTTATAATTCATGTCTACAACTGGTATATATATATATAAAATGTCTAAAATATACAGTATATCCTAATCTGGTATAATGATGTATTTAAGCAAATTAGAAGCTTCATATATAAACTCTGACATCCATTTTAATGCAACCACAGTGAATCCGTGTTAACGTATTCATTCAATTTAATCGCATTAAAACTCTCTCACTAACATACATTTAACCTGTTTTGTTAAATAAAGAAAAAATCATCCCAGTGTAAAAATAAATTAACTCCGGTATATAACTCTTACTAACATAAACTCAATAGACAAAGTTAAATAAACGAACCAATTATCATAGTTTACATTCAACAACTGTTTTCCATTTCAGACACAGGTGTAATAAACTAAATAAATTAAGTGTATAAGTATTTTTTTCCTTAATCTTGGTATGTTAATTTCAACGAACTAAAGTTATATTACACAAATTCGATATGTTAAATCAGTATCACACACACACACACACACACACACACACACACACACACACATCCTGTTATATACAACCAACTCCTTACCACACACAATATTTCATCGAGTCAACAAACCCAACTAATTAACCTTCTTTTACCGTTGTTATGACCAGGTAGCACACGGAAGTTTACTAAGTTGTACACAACAAATAAGACGCATTTACCTCTCGACCAATTACTAGAGTTAAGTGCTATTTAAGCGTATTTACCATCACATTAGTACCTGCTTACTCACGCTAATTACAACGCCTACCAAGACCACCACAACATGCAGTCTGGGAATGTGGGAGAGGTGGTGGTTGGAGGAAAAGATGGTGGTAGAGACGGTGGTGGTGTGGTAGAGATGGTGGTAGTGGTGTAGTAGTGTGGTAGAGGTTATGGCAGTGGTGGTGGTAGAGTTGGTGATGGTAAGAAAGGAGGAAGAAGGAAGATAGAGGGGGAAGGGAACAGATGAAGAGACATGGAGGCAATGGAAGAGTTAGAAGAGGGATGAAAGTGGGATGGGAGAAACTGGGAGGCCAAATACTGAGGGGAGAGTGGGAGGGTTAATAGGATGAGTGGGAGGTGGAGAGGTTGAAAGGAAGTGGGAAGATGAGGGGGGGGCACTGGAAGAAGGATGGGCGAGTGGGTGGATTTGATGAGATAGGAGAGTGTGAGGAGTGGAGGGCGATAGAGTGGAAGAGGGGAAGTATGAGGGAAGGTGAGAGGAAGGGGAAGGAATGGGGGGAGGCGGGGAAGAAAGGGAGATATGGGTAAGAAATGACTGAAAAGGAAGGAAGGAAGGAAGGAAGGAAGGAAGGAAGGAAGGAAGGAAGGAAGGAAGGATTAAAATTATCTGATCGTACGCATGTTGGTTGTGTGAGTTCACTTGTACAGTATAAACAAGCGAAGTAATTGTATATATTGATACAGACACAAAAGTAAACACACACACACACATACACGCACACATGCATAAATACATACATACATACGTAAATACATAAAGGATATGCATACATTTAAACTAACATATACCCTGTAAAAATATATTTATAGACACACACACACACACACACACACACACACACACACACACACAAACACACACACACACACACACACACACACACACACACACACACACACACACACCGGAAACAATAAATATCACCGAAGAAATATAGCCCTATAGCCCGATAGCCCTATAAACCAGCGGAGACTATACAGTATATATAGCCCCTGAAAAAATTAATGCATAGCCTCGACGTAGAACCAATAGACTACAGGATTAAGTAGCAAAAAAAAAAGACTACATAACTAAGACACACTACATATATAGCTTCTACAGTGGGATAAAAATTCTTCATCTAGCTACAAAGACTAACTCTAGCCCCCTACCCCTACAGTAGTACGTAGCCTATCTTCGTTGCGACAAATACTACAGGATTATGTAGCAACAAAGACTCTATGTAGGTCACCCCCCCCCAACACACAGAGGTCTTGGTTGAGTCTTTTGTGTTGATTCGGAGTCTTATTTTTTCTCAACAGCAGCATCGCGTGACGTGGAGTCTCTGGTGAGCCTTTGTTGTGTACCGCCTGACCGAAGAGGAGGAGAAGAGGGGGAAGAGGAGGAGGAAGGAAAGGGGGAAGAAGGAAGAGCAGAGAGGGACGTTGAGGAGGAGAAGAGAGGGAGGAAGGGGGAAAGTAGGAGGAGAGGAGATGAAGAGGGTAATGGGTAAGGGGGAGAAAGTGGAGGAAAGGGGGGAGGAGAAAGAAAGGGGGGAGGAGAAAGAAAGGGGAGGGATGAAAACGAAATAAGGAAGTGATGGGGAAGAGAGCGACAGAAAAAGAGTTATATAAGCTGGGTTTAGGGAAAGTATACAGAAAGCCTGGGGAAAGTCTGTGGAAACAAGGGAATTCTGAGGCAAATTCTGGGGAAAGCCTAGAGGAAAGCCTTGAAGAAACTTGGGGGAAAGTGTAGGGAAAACCAAGCGAAAGACTGAGGATAAATATGGAGGAAACCCTAGGGAGAAATTGGGGTAAATCTGGGGAAATTTGGAGTAAGCCTAGGGAAAGCCTTTGGAAAAACTGGGGTAAATCTGGGGAAGTTAGGAGTAAGCCTAGGGAAAGCCTTTGGAAAAACTGGGGTAAATCTGGGGAAGTTTGGAGTAAGCCTAGGGAAAGCCAGGGGGAAAGTGATGAGAAGGAGGAGGATGGGGGTGTGTGTGTGTGCCGGATTTACTGGTGTTGTCCGCTGAATATCAATGTGAAATCTGACCAGAATGCCGCGAGTAATTTTCAGGCTGTTTCACTTGCTGTAGTAAATTGGTGTGTTAAGCTTAGGGCGTCTCCTTCACTTTAGAAACCTCAAATAATCCGGTCAAATTATCAATATCATCAACTCCCACATCCACAATTCCTTTATTCTATCTTCATTTTAATCCCTCTTTTCTTCCCTTCCTCCTTCTCTCCATCCTTTCCTTCGCCTACCCTCCCCAGCATCCATAAAAAATTCCCTATTTACAATATATTTTAAATCCCCACACAGACAATTTCCTTGATTAAATCCCCTACCTTCCAGCATTCAATACACAATACATTCCACCACCACATTGTCCCACCTCTTAAAATCCCTCTGAAATCCTCTTGTCTTCAATTCACATTTAAAAGATGTACCTGTTCAAAATTCGTGCGCTAGAATGTATTAACAATGACGATAAATAATGAAACAAAAACCAACGACAATTTGGGGGTTTCTATTCGGCCGTCTGGGTACACTACACTTATATTCGTCATGTAAAGAGATTGACTCAAAAAAAATAATATCTTTTTTTCGTTTTTCTCGCTCATGTAAGATTTTCCGTTGTTAGAGTAAACGTACGTAGGTGATTGAAAACAAAAGATAAGTCTAATATGCTTTTTTTTTTTTTAGTTTTTGTTTTTTTTGATCAGTTAATTCTTAAATAATAAAGACGATTAATCTAAACAAATACACAGTAAAAGAAACAAGAACAAAACATAAAATTCAATACTGAAACACAAGAGAATGATTCGTAAATAAGAAAATGGAAGAAGACATAAACGGATGAAAACGGAGAAGATAAAAATAACAATGAGAATAAATATACAATACAAATATATAATAGAACTTAAGGAGTAACAAACAATGAAACAGGAGTAAAAGAGGATAAGGAAAGCAGAGAGAGAGAGAGAGAGAGAGAGAGAGAGGCGAATACAACAATCGACTTAGAAATAATGCTCAGGGAAAGAGAATGGAAACAAATAATGGAAACAGGTGGAGGAAATTCTAGATAAAAATGCAGATAGAGCGAGAGAAGAAGTCCAGTCACGCCTCGCCGGATCTCTCGCCTGGCTGGACTAGGAGCGATATGCAGACCAGGAGGCCCCCAGCTCACTACCAGGACCCCCCCTTTCCCCCAAGCTCACTACCAGGACCCCCTTTCCCCCAGCTCACTACCAGGGCCCCCATCTCACTGTCAAGGCTCCATATTATTACCAGGGCCCCCAGCTCACTACCAGGGCCTCCCAACTCACTACCATGGCCCCCAGCTTTACATTTCCCCCTCTCACCTCTTCTCCACTTACTTTCTCCCTCTCCCACTCTTCGTCACTTTTCCTGTCTCTTCCTTCTCCACTTTTTCCCTCTCTCCTCCCCTCACCCCGTCCCCACTCTCTCCCTCTCTCCCACTAGAGGTTTTTCATAAGGTCATGAAGTTTACGTGTGGGCGCGCGGGAGGAAAGTCGATGACGTCAGTGAACTCTGGTTGGTCTGGAAAGTCCACTAACACCAGGAGAAGAGAAGAGAAGAGAAGAGAAGAGAAGAGAAGAGAAGAGAAGAGGAGAGAGAATCACACAATACACACACTTTTAAACCCAATATCAAATGTCTCTAAAGCTCTTTACTTACACCTTACCTACAATTCTCACAGTTCCAGAATCTTACGTTAAAAATTTCTCCCTTCTATAGACACGACTCCTAAGCCAACTCCTTTTATATAACGAAACCAACACTACCTCACAATATGACGTCAAATATGTACAGAGACTCGAATGTGTGTTGTAGCCTATCAAACTGTGGGAGGAGAAACTGTCTTACGATTTTGTTTTTAGGAATATATCTATAGGATCCTCTGGCAGATGTGGGAGTTGTGCATATCATATCAGCTTCCTTCGTGACTTTTCTCAACCCATGTTAATTTTCACTGCTAGATTAGGTTTCATGTTAAATGGGAACTAGTATTAAGAGACCATAGTCCTAATGGGACCCAGTTCTAAAAGGTCCAAACGAAACTTAGCCTTCAGTATTGGGATCCATTAAACTGAAGGTCCATTAGGTCTAAGCTCCATTAGGTCTGAGGTCCATTAAGTCTAAGCTCCATTAGGTCTGAGGGTCCATTAAGAAAGGGGCATATTAATATGGGAGGGAAAGGGTC